CTTGGACCCTTAGGGAACCCAACTTGCCATAACATGGCCAAAAGGTGAACATTGGGTTTCGGAATCACAGCAACTTGCTTGAAGTTCCTTAACAGCAACCCAGTCCAATATCTCATCTCCAAGAAGGACCTACAATCCCCTCTTTGGCGGTTCTAGGGATGTACAGACTTGCTCAACCCCTAAAGATCCATTGGTTGCATAGAGAAAACCTTGCAACAATTGGGAAGCCGCAACCTGGGAAACTGACGGAGTTTGCGATACCCTCCGTGTCCTGGTATTGAATAATAGTCTTATACTTCCGCAAGCCTATACGAAAAAATACTATTGCAAAAATCTTAAGTATTCACGTGGCCTCTTCGGTAAACCGCTCAACCCTGCATCCCTCAATCCAGAAGTCCTTGCATAAGTCCTTGCATCCAAAAAATCCCATAAACCTCTGGCTTCTGTTTATCTTTTCGATGTCACTGTCTATCTGATTCTCAATCCCCAACATACACCCCAGAACCTCAAGGATACAGTCGTTTCCACTTTCTTTCGTGTGAACTTCCCTGCTATTGGGGCACTATCCCTATATAGAGCCTACATAACCCTCGCAAAGCCCTTGTTTCTACTTCATTTCTCATGTTTCTTGTTTAGTTTGATTCTCCATTATGGTAACTTTCAACACGCAACCCCAAAACGCAAAACCCTCAATGAACCCTAAACCCCAAAACCTTACACCCTAAACCCTATAGCCCTGGGAAGTGATCTTTCCGTAGCGCCGGAGGCACCTGGCCATCCCCCTTCATCTTGCTGGCTTGGGACCAAAGTACCTACTCAAAGGGTCCATGCAGCTTTAAAGCTATGCACACATATATATATATATACATACATAGGTGTGCGTTGTGTTTGTATACATGTGTCTATATGTATCTATGTTATCTATGTATATATATATATCTCTCTCTCTCTATATATATATATATTAGCATGTACGTCGGGCTCATGGGTTTAGGGTTCGGGACATCAATGTAGTCATATATTGCATACGTTGGGAAATCTTTTGCAACCATACACCTACATGGACTCTTTGGGCTACCAGGCACGCCATGAAGGCTAAAAGCTTATGGCTCAGGCTCTAGCTTGTAAGATTTTGCAGCTCACGGTCCAGAGTTCAGGTCTCAGGCTATTCTACAAGGACTCTATGGGTACCGTATGAGCTATAGTCTAAACTCCTGGTATCCCCCGTAATAGTCCCTCAAGTAGCCCACATATAATCTCTTATATTACCGCCTTTTAAGGATTTGAGACCACAGCTCATATATTTGGAGCTGGTATCTAACAAAACAGGGCACCGAATCCTAAATTCCAAGCCAGGAGCCCTAGCCTTCTAAAAGCTTAACCCAAAACCCCAACCCCAACCTTTCCAAATCTTGACCCTAAAACCCCGATTCTAACCATTTAGAACCTTAACCCTAACCTTGGAAACCTACCCTGAAATCCGAATCCCGAACCCTCGGGATCTCGAACCTTCTCCTCGGAATCAGGTGCAGTGACATTGATCACGGGTCTTTCGTGTGCCCTGGGAGGCCGCATCTATTGGATACCCAGAGGGCCCAATAAACCATAACCTGAATGATACGAGGACACTAGGATTTCCGACATGATTCAAAGTACATTCAGGAACCTGAATGATACTAGGACTAGGATCTCTCACATGATTTGAAGGTATAGTCATGAATTAAGGGGCATTGAGTTTGCGGGACAGTTTCCGTATCAAGTGTTTTGGGGTTCCCGTAGCATTCTTTAAGCATACTACCAATCCCTCCTGACTCTGCCACCCCATGAAAAGGCCTAAGTTGGGTCTAAGCGGGGACTGATGACGGGGCCCTATCTGCTTGAAGGCATAGTTCGGCAAGGGTCTGAAGGTACCGGGTTAAAGTTTGGGCCCTTTAACGAAGGTTATAGTGTATTGGGGTCTATCTTGCGCCCCCTATCAATGGAAACTACAAGTTTGGTTCTGTAGAATTCTGTAAGGACTATGCGTGAAGTACATGTCTCACCACTCGGGCTTCGACATTTGTGGTCTTGCGGTCTTACTCGGCTTAGGGAAGGAATCTAGCGCCACTTGTTGGGGCCACATGGACACCCTCCTGCAACATGTACTTAAAAGATGCAACATTGTCGTAGCAGTTAGAAGTCTACACGAGGCAATGATAACGTAGCTGAAGTATGTTATATAAGAGCTGTCGAAATTACATTCGCTCCCAGATTTACAATCAGGATGATCTCTACTCCAGGCGAAACTTTGCGCAGTGTGGACTCGAGGTGAAATCACCAGAAAACCGGGTAGATCTGACTTGCTAAAAGCATGAAGTGATACTACGATCCCAAATTGAGTAAGGTGCATTTTCCTAGGGTATTGCCCTGCCTGGTTGAGATTGACTGGCTCCAACCTAAACCCTAAGCCCTCAGCCCTAAACCCCAAATCCATTCCTAATATTTTGGAACTACCTCAGTCTCATAGCAAAATTCCTACCCGTCAAGGCTGTTCTAAAGGCCCTTCTGAAAGCGGGACTTCCTTAAAGGGGGCATCCTGAACAAAAGGGGAACCTACTTTATGGCCTTGCTGGAGGAAGTATTCTGAACAACTATCATGTGGGAGTTCGCAGACACCCTCACATAACGGAACGGGACCTCCGAGGAGGGTGGACAACCCATAGCTGTAGTGGATACAAATGACAAACTGTGGGTGGAGGAAATCTTGTGCCGCCCCTTATACCTTGCACCCGCAGAATTTTAGTATCAAGGGGATCCAAAGTGGTGCCAGGTATCCCTGACAACCGAGGTGGCTTCCATGTTAGGGTCCATTGCCGATTCTACATTTCCCTAAATGCCCACGTGCCAAATAATTGGGTATTTGGGCCTGTGGCACCAGTAATTCTAGTAGAGGTTTTGGGTAAGTAGCTGTATATGATGATTGGGTACTTGGACCCTTAGGGTTTGTCAAGGTTGAGATGAGGCGGGGTTGCATTGCAGTAAAAGCGGTTTCCAAGATCTCCTTTGCTAAGCCTCAACAAAAAAAGCTCCGCCCCAAACCTGAAATTCTCTACTGTAAACCCTGAGCCTTACTCCCGTAACAACTCATATTACGAGCCACTGGTTCGTCATACACCTACTCAGGGGGCTAGAAGACCTTGGTTCCTTTGGGTGTTGAGCAGCTAAGCCACTGAAAGACCTCCTCCTGGCCATGCGCACATCCGCAGCTGGCAGCCCCCATGGCTGCTGCACAGGCTTTGTAGCTTAAATGACCTTGAGGTTTAAGGGTTAGATGATCTTAATGTTTAGAGGGTTTTAGTGACCTTGAGGTGTAGGGGCTAGATGATCTTAATGTTTAGCAGGTTTTGGTAGCCTTGAAGTTTAGGGTTTGATATTCACATGCCTCCCCGAAACCTAGACCACTGTTGCTGATACCAAAATTCCAATTCCAAGTACTCATGTATCATCAAATATACTTATGCGCTAAAACGCTTTCAAACCTCCTATGTAGCAATATGAGGATGTTGGGCCTTGTCAGGGTTTGGACTACTCTGTGCCTTGAGAGCAACAGCTGCAACTCAACTCTCCAAAAACTAAACTTGGTTGGCCTTCGGAGCACTTTGAAATATAGGGTTCTTATGAACTTAGCACGTGAAATATCTGAAATATCCCAGAGGCCAACTGAATGAACCCTAAGGTTGAACATGTCGGTTGCTGGTAAGCGCCTGTAATGTTGGGTTCTTAGATTTTTGCTCTGTACCCCATACACGGCTAGAAGCCAAACATAAAACCCCACTTCGAACCATGGAAACATGTAGAGCATCGGTTCTAAGGGCCCATGGCCTAGATTTGGTCATCTACGGGCTAGAAAAACTGAGGAGAGCGCATAGATGGGGCTTATTTAGAGGGACTATAAGATGTTACCGAACCCGAAATCTTAGCTTGGCAAGCAAGGAAGGGCAGAAGGAGACTTTGCTTTGAGCTTCGTGGATGCCATGAGGATCCAAGTACCAAAATCGTAGGCGGTGTGGTCCCAAGATTCTTATGTAGGAGCCCATTTGGGCCTAAATTCCCAAGACAATTGTGCGCGAACTCCTCTGGGAGATACTACAGACCTCATGTGCCTGCGTGGACTTTTCGGTGAAGAAACTTTCTCTGAATTCCACTAAACCCGGAATAGTAGTTTCCATTTCCACTATCCTAACATAACCCTAATATAACCACAAAACACTCTGAAACCATTCCGGCGCACAGGGCCTCCTGTAAGCTCAGGCACAAAGCATCTGGATGCTTCGGCGCCTGAAATCAAAGAGTCTCATACATTAGGAGGACCCCCCACCCTGTAATAGTGGTACAATAGGAATATAATAGGACCCTAATATACTCCTAATTATCCCTTATAGCAACTATTACAAGGAGGGGGGTCTGCCTAACTCATACACTTCCGTCCCTATCAGGCCGAAAACCTAGATTTGTAGACTATATAGCCCCTATACATCCCCATATAGCCCCAGTGTAACCCTATATATCCCCATTATAATAGTTTCCATGTTTTTCATTATCCCGGAACCCTAAACCCTAAACCCTGAAATCCCTAAACCCTAAACTATCCCAATATACCCCCAATATAGTATTCTGGGTTCCGTAGGGTCCAAGTATGGCTTACGATGAAGCGGCCGACCAAACCCGTCCTCCTGCACCTGCACCCTGAGTGGCCGCGACTGACGGACGGTACTATATGGGGATAACTGAAAAGACAGTGGAAACTACTGTAGTGTACTGGGGGTTATATAGGGTTTAGGGTACTGACTGCATGCCCGCATGTCCGGCGCCTTGAAACACAAAAATGATGGCCGAATGATCCGCAGATAGTCATTATAGCATCTCATTCCCCAAGGCATTTTTCCGACTATCCAATAGACTCCACATTCTCCACAGCCAAAAGAATTTGCACCGTGCCCACGTAGTTTTGGACAAGTTGCCTAGCCTTTGCATTGCGCTTAGCTAGATACGCTGTGGTCTGCTGGGGCACATTGTGGATGGTCTGAAGCAAGCCCAGAAGCAACGTCATCATCAAAGCAGAAAGTCACGACCTCAAACTTCAAATCCCAAACGCGAAACGTTGAGCCCAAAGGGCACACACCGTTGCAACCCCAAACTCCAGATGAAGCCATGTACGTAGAGTAACCCGTGTTCCAGAGAGGCGCGTACCTGCTGCGTTGGTGTCCCTATTTTGGCTCCAAAGCATAAGGTCGCTCTACAGAAGCCCTGAACCCCACTTTCCTTGGGTCAACCCAGGAAAGCCCTAAGCCTGATGGCCTTCGCTTCTACGCGTGCAGCGCACTGCTGCAACGCCTCGCCTTGTTTTTTTTCAAGACTCCGTTTTCAAGAATCAGGGCTACCTTTTTGGGGGGGTCCTCATAACAAGGGTTATCGTATACTGTGGGTATGTGAGGGTTCCGCTTTATGATATGGAAAGTATCACGTCGATGTGGAGTCGGTTTAGGGTTTAGGAAAGTACACTGTAGCTGTGGAGTTAGGGTGTAGGGTTTTGGCTGAATGAGCGGCGCAAGGGGGCAGTTGCATCATGTTGGTACATAGGTATTCATTAGGGACTATGCAAGGGCCAGGCTTCAGCGATCTCACTTTGAAGGGGGTACGGTCGTCCGTCTCTGCGCCTCAGAGGAAATTACTAGAGAAGGTATTTGGTAGCTATGACAATCCAAAAACCCTGATCCTTAAACCCTAGACCGGAAGCCCTAAACCATGAACCCTAGTGATCCAGGAAGCGCAGGTCAAGTTGCCGATGGGGAGCTTCCCTTGGCGTAGTTTTCCCAAAGAACACAGCTTAGGGTTTGGGGGTTATAGAGTTGATAGGGTTCCTTTCTGGCCCACATCCCCCTAAAACATATACGGCTCCCGGCACAAATGGACTGAACCGTAGACACGTACCCAACCCTATTGCCGGGCGCGGAACTTTTCCGCATGCATTTAAGGGAACGGCAAACAAGTCACTTGGCAGCAGTACAACAGGGGCCTGGCGGCGTGGGCTACAGAGCTCAATCAAGCTTCCCCAATTCTCCCACATAAGCCTCAAGAGACATGGCGAAAAGGCTGTATTGCTTGTCACCCAAATTGAACGCCAAATCCAATCTTCCTCAGGAACCCTGTATACACTCGCCAAAAATCAGTACAAAGACCCCTACTTCATATGCCGTTTAGCACAAAAAGTTTGGGGACCGCCCAAAATCAAAGACCACCAACGTCTGGAAACCTTAAAACCGGCGTGGTGCTTTATTTCTCCCATGTCCCTATGCATCCCCTATAGCCCCATAACGGAACCCCTCATCATTGAAATCCGGATATCTTGAACATAGGGTTTACACCCAACTCCGCAAGCGTCTCTGAATTACGGAACTCTACCCAGAGGACTTGCTGGAGCTCTATGTATGCTAACACCTAAGGGCCCTTATGCTGACCCTTTCAAAACCTTTACCCTACGAATGCAGTATTTTCATGTATAACACAAAAACCCTAATCCCTAGACCGCAAGCCCTAAACCCTAAGCCCCTAAACCCTGAGCCCTATAAACCCTAAACCCCAACCTTCTGAACCCTAAGCCTGAAGCATCTTAAAGCCTAAGTTCAAATTCCTTTAAGGTTTTTCATGGAAATATGGGCATAGTACAGGGGACATAGGGCCCCACGAAGGGTTCCAAGAATTGCCCTTTTATGGGCTTGGAATTCCCGTACCAAGTAGCGCAGCCGTGGGTAGGAGAGCTCATAATGCCCCAGCTGGCTGGATCTGCTCTCCATGGCTTCCATACGGTCTGTGGTTGCAGGCTTACAGTATCTTGTCGGAGGTGTTGGGTCAAGGTAAGAGGGGTTGTAGTGCAACACCTTCGGACATCCAGCTTCTTCTATTGCGTTTTCCACCTCCTTTTCCGTCTGATTCTCCCCTACTAGGTACACTAAGCGAAAACCCTAAGCCCAAACACATGTTACCCTTAATGGTGATGTCTTCTGAGGATTTCTACATGCCATTGGCAACCTGCAAGAATAGGATTGGCAACGCTCGCTCATAGGCGTATAAAGGGATATCCTGAGGGTCCAGGTACCCAATAGTTGGGATATGGGGAATGCTACTTGTAGTATTGACTTTGGGGAAGTGTAAGAATATAATCAGTTTCCATGTTCTTTTCCGTTATGCCTATATAACCCGAATATACTATATAGTAGTTTCCAGAATTTGGGGATAGATCCTAAACCCCCATCCTCGAAATCCTAAACTCGTCATCCACTGCAGTTAACAGACCTTGTTGCCTGTTACTTCCCTTGAGCCTGGCGGCATGTGCTTTGTGGGGCCCTGAGCCCAGCAAATAGACTAGGGAACAAGAAATAGGAAAGGGGCCATCTTCCCGCTCATAGACAACTTCTGCATGATGCCATAAAGCAATGCCACAGGAACTATGGCACTATAGTATACTTAGGGTCATGCAGGAGTTTGTCCAGCAGCCGACCTATTAGGGGTCCTTGCCTTGCTTTTTGGAAATATTGGGGTTTAGGGTCCCTTGGTCTATATTGGGATACTGGAAAAGGAAATGGAAACGACTATAATGGGTTATCTAGGGTCCTAGGGGCTATATAGGGGTTATACTAAGGGATTAGGGAATTGACGAAACCCAATAGGGTCAAACTGCGACTCTTCGGGGAACCTGTTCAGTCCCTCTGACACAACTGTTCACAGTACGGTGCGCGCAAAGACTGCTAGTCCTTACATAGGAAACCCCTTGCAGCCGTAAGTATATACTACATATACCAACTTGGACCCTCTACGTAGAAGTTGTTGCATCCCACCGCAAAACAACAAACTGAATATGGAGACCCTAGGAAGGGATCATAACTTTGCGAGGGACATAGGCAGGGATTGGTGAACAACTCATGTTGATGGCAACTTATGCTAGGCATGGTTTTCCCAAAATTATGGGTATCTTTTGGGTGTCCATACAATGTTTTATTGAGGTTCCCTATTTTGGGGAACTACCATTTTCACTTGCAATCAAGATCTAAAAACCCAGCAGGCACCAGGTGTTGCAGGTGTCGTGCGGGCTGTGCCCTGAATGACATTCTCACGTGGAGTTTTCGACCATTAGGGTCCCCTTTTGACGGGGTATAAGTGCAAGCATGAGAGTATGTAGAGGCGACCCCTGTTATTGAGAACTGGCATGTAATGATACGGCCTTCAGGAACAATATGTTCGGACCTGAGGTTTACAATCCTCGATATCCGTGTGCGTAGGACGAGTAGTATGAACATTGCAGCGCAGCAGAAAAGCAAAACGACTTCCGATGGGGTACCCCTGCTTAAACAGAAAAGCCCAAGCACATCAAAGCTTTTCCCATACGTGTAGATGTGATCAGGAGCACATTGCCTTCAGTCTTTTACTCATGAGGGAAGAAACCAGCATGATCCCTCTCTGTGAAGTTGTTTAAATGTATAAAGACATTTTTGGCCAACAAACGTGCCTCAGGAATGAAACGCCTCAAGCATTTTGTGTGGCGCTTGTGTGGCAACTCACCGCCTACTAAAAATGCTTTTGTAATTCTCTGAGGCTTCAGGGCTTCAGGAATCTGGAGTCAACAACACCACCAAACTTCGGGCCTCTCTGAGTCTACAAAGGGAAATTACTTGGCCAGCGCATTTGCTGGAATGCCTGTTCTGACCTCACTTGTGTGTAGGATGAACCCCTATAAGAAAGGTAAACTGGACTACATTCCTTAGACACCGCCCACATGATCCGTTCTTAGGAAGGACTACACCCTAAGAATTTGGGCTCTGAGCCCGCTTGCTTAAACCCCTAACTTTTAAGTCAGGTCCCCGACTCCCCAAACCACAGCAGTAAGACAAGCCAGAGATGCCTGAGAGCGCAAACAGCGAGGTCCGCACCGCGCAATGTGGTACACATGAACCTAACAAGCCCAAAGGGTCCAAAGTACTTATATGGTACAAAGTATGGTTTCTGCAGTAGTAATTTCCCTTATGGTTTGGGTAAGTATTCCCCAATGGTTGCTTAGGACCCCTTGTCAAGTAATTCACCCTTACAGAATATTTTATGACATTTCCTATGCGATGACCGGTGGTAGCGCTAGGAGGAGAATAGCAGAATGAGGTGCAGGAGGAGGGTGCTGATGCTGGTGGTGGTGGCTGTTGGAATAGTAATGAAGTAGTTGCAGTAGAGAGGGAAGAGGAGGCGAGCAGTTCATGATAGCCGAAATCAGTGATGATCGCAGCAAATCCCAGCTTTGCCTTTAAACTAGAGAGGACTTCGCAGCATGTTCTTGTGCTCAGGCTGATGAACCTGCCATGTGAGGGCTTATGTTAAGTAGTATTTTAGTCTGCGGCGTGCAGCAGCATGAGCTCTCCACAGCTCATCTAATCCAAAGGATCAGTTTTCTGCAGCAGGACAATTATCAAAAGCTGGCGCCACGCATGCTTTAATGTTCAGTTCCAAAAAGTCCCATTAGGACTGCCAAAACAATGAAAGCCCAGAAATCGATGATGGGGCGCTTTCCTGGATTCTGAACCCCATTTTCTGGAGAGTCCATGTCGGATACACTTGGGGCCAAAACCGATTCCTCGTTCAGAATTTTGGCTTTCAAGCATTGCCCATGGAAGTACACGGAATCTTTAGGTTTGCGTTCTCTCCTGCTGGACCCCACTGGAGTGCCAAATGGTTGCCGTGCAAGCATTCCAATGAATGCGTACTGCTGCTTGTAACATCGATGAACATAAAAGACGAGAGCGTGAGGCATCACAGGTTGGGCTTCAGCGGCTGCACGGAACCGCGAGGCCACAAATACTTGGGCCGCAAGGTAAGTATGTGGGAAACCTTTTGGGCCCTACCCAATAAAGAATAAACCCTATATATAATTGTTCAAAATACCTGTCCGGAAACTTGCCATTTGGTAGGTTCCTCTTTGGGTTATAGGATCCACCCTCGCGGAAGTACCTACATGGACCTTTTGAGTGCAAGATATGGCAATGGATTTTCCCGCTTATGTCAAGCTGCGAGGTTCCCAACATACTGACCGGTCTTGACAAGAAATCCTTGGACCTGAAAGCCCTGAAGCCCAAACCACAAGGTTGAGGGTGTAAGGTCCAAGTACCTGAAGAGCACGTCACTACGCACATTCTAGGTGCTCGGACCTGGGTGAAGAAGGTCTGAGCAACAAATTCCTAAACCCTCTCCTCGTCATCCAAGACTGGACGCTGAAATTTATAAATGGGGCCTGTTTGGCCTATTTGGATGCCTACCCGGCTAGAAACTCTACGTATTCATGAAGCCGCGTCATGAATAGATT